TATTTTTTATTATAATATATCATTAATTATGATAAAATTGATTAATATATTAGTATTTGCAAGCTTAATACTCAATTTCTTTAGAAATTATCACAAATTACTTTTGTCATACTAGCTTATTTATCAATTAACTTTCAGCAACTTTCTATAAGATCCATCCAGATGATAAAAATTCAATGATTATTAAAGATCTAATAATTCAATTCAAATTCTATCTTCTCATCATTTCATAATCTCTAAAAATTTTATGAATTCACAAGAAAAGATTGATTTAGTATATGAAGAGTTCACAGATATCAAGATATTAAAAGCAGCTACATCACAAAGAAAAAAAAAGATATATTAAATGATAATATTCTTCTTACTGCTCCTTCAAATCAGATCAAGTTTGAAGATATAGTGCTTCACAGAAATATCCAATCTCTCTTAACTCTTCATAGATCATGTATAATGCATCAAATTTTTCCAAGCACAAAGAACATTACAAATGCTGATCATGATACCTTTTATAAATTGGTAGAGCTTCTATTGAATATTGTATATTCATAAATTTTCAGATTTCAAATATAATTAGCTATTTCATAACATACATCTCAATATTTAATAATCTAATTTTTGATGTCCAGTGATCCGATTTGAACAAAAACAATTCATCTTACATAGCATATCGAGTATTACGTTTGTTGCAGCGAGACATTCGCTTACAAATTTCTTCCACGAAAATTCAAACAACATTAGATCGTTTTATGAATTTTGGGCCGAGTCCAGATCGGGCGTCATAAAATTAATGTTTTGGGTTAAACGTAATATTCTTGAGCCATTTATGTAATATAGCTCTGGTTCTATAATATAAATCGCACTTATTATGTATTTAAAACGGTGTTTATTTATTTTAATTAAAACTTTGTACAAGATCGAAAAAAATTTGAAATCGTAAAGAAGTCTAAAGTTTTGCATCTAATTTGTAAAATACTTTCGGTAATCATATGACTCCAATCCCATCTAACTCCTCGAATTTTATTATGCTTGCAGATTGCGTAAAAAACTTCAACAAAAGCTTTCGAAGCCATTGTATAGAACTGTAAATATTGGGCGAACAACCTTAATTAATACCCCCAAAAAAGGGGTTTACATAATTTTTTTTAACTTTCTAAATGCATATTTTTGATCAGATCCGTGGATGAATATTTTTATGCGGTTAGCAATGCATTTGGACAATGAACTCATTAAAATCCGGAGCCAGTCACGAGCACCCATCCGTACGTGCAATGTCACGTGTCTCACAAATTTTTTTATCTCCGTCATAATCACGTGAATGCAAAATTTTGTTGCCACGAGAACTTTTTTATTATTTCGAAATGGTCAAATTAGAAGAAGTATGTATTAATCCACACATTTACTTTTATTATTATTGCTTTTTTCTCGGAAATCATACTAATCAACAATTGAAAATAAGATACACGACGAAGACGCTCTCCACGACGATGAAGAAGAAATCTCTGACAACGACTCCACCTACTCTACAGATTCTGCTGCATCAAACGACTACGAAGAGTCGATAATCGAAAGAATATGGGCGTTACGTGATATCATACCACAGGAAACACGCGAGTCAATATCGACCAATGTGTCGCGTGTGTGGAATTTCGGGTGGCGAGGTGCTAACTTTGTCGGGAATACGTTGTGGGTGTTGACTACTACGGCGTTGTTGTTAGTCATGCCGTTGGCGTTAGAAATTGAACGGGAGGCTGCGATTGTGCAAATGGAGAACGAGCAAAAGGCATTGGTATGTCTTTGAATATTTTTTCATGGTTTGATTTTCCCAGTAATTTGCAAATTCTTAATTTTTCTCTGCAATTAATCAATTAACAAGATGGGACAACAAGCTGGTCCCTATAATCAAACAAATCAAATAGGAGGACCACAGCAGCAACAGCAACAACAACAACCACCGCGTTTGGTGCCACCTGGTTTCTAAATGAAATCAATTAGATGGTTTACAAATATTATATTAGGTAATCGGATATATATGCTAGTGCAATGAAAAGATGGAAGATTAGATTTTATAATATTGTTTTTGCTATTAATGTCTAGGGCTAATTTATTAATTAATTAATTAATTGATTAATAATAATAAAATCTTAAGCTAAATTCTATATCAACCAAAAAAATTAATTCAACCATTTGATCATGAGCTCATAACATAAAAAGTCACAGAATTCACCGCTGAGCTCTTGCCAGCGTCAGCATTATCCCTTTAAAAATGACTATCCCTTTCCGCTTTGTATGATTTTATGGCACAATCGATGATTCCGTTGTTATTTTTACGCTGTAGTAAAGTTGTTTGTTCGAGAGATGAAGATAATGAGATTACTGCGCGAGTTATTGTGAATCTTAACAGTGAAATCATGAGTGGCGTTTTGTATGGTTGAGTTTAAAGTCTCGTTTTAATTACATCTAATAAAATTTTAAAATTTTTTAATTAAAAATTACATAGGTGTACAAATTAAAATTATATTTGGTTGTATATACAAGTTCATGCCACCACGTCGGCCATCCCTCTAGCTTCAAAAGATCATCATTATTTTGGTTGTAGTTCCCAGTAGCGAAACCATCATGATTATTGACAAGATTAGTGAAATAAAAAATG